CTAGCTAAACTCTCAGCCAACAGTCCACATCAATGGCTAGTCATGATGATTTTAGCTCCCAGCCTTTGAGTCCTCCACCAGACATTTCAGAGCAGATAGAAGCCTTTCTCACTGTACCCTGTCTGAATTTCTTACTCACAGAAACCATGAGAGATAATAAATGATCATTGTGGTTTGAAGCCACAATGTTTTGGGAGTGATTTGTTGTGCAGTAATAGATAACAAATACCTTATATGATAACTTGGAATGTTTATTTGTGTTTAAAATTTTTCAACTGAGACACTTGAAGGCTATTAGCTTCAATTCTGGAGAAACAAAGACATATTGCAATTTCTGGAATTTATTGTGAAATAGGACTTTTATGAATCTTGCCAATCTCATCCTCAGCTTTCAGATTTTTTTTCAAGAAATTTATACATCTGTTGCTTCATGTGAAGAAAATTTTCAAAATTAAAATTAATGTTCAGTCATAAAAAGGAATGAAGTACTGATACGTACTACAACACGGATGAACTTTGGAAACGTTATGTAAGTGAAAGAAGCCAGACACAAAAAGCCACATATTGTATGATTCTATTTATATGAAATTTCCAGAATAGGTGGACTTGCAGAGACAGAAAGTGGCTGGCCAGTTAGCTCATTTAGTTAGAGTGCAGCCTTATAACACCAAGGACATGGATTTGGATCCCCATACTGACCAGCTGCCAAAAAAAGGAAAAAAAAAAAAAAAAAAGAAAGAAAGAAATTGTGGATCATACAGACAGAAAATAGGTAAGGGTTTCCAGAGGTTGTGGGAAAGGGAGAATGTACAGTGACTACTAATGGGTATGGGGTTTCTTTTGGGGATGATAAAAATGACCTAGAATTAGTTATACTTATAGTGATAGTCATGCAACGTTGTGAATATATCACCAAACTGTACACTTAAAAGAGTAAATTTTATGGTATGTAAATGATATCTCAATAAAAAATTAAAATCATTAAAAACTTTTCTTTGATCAACTAAGAGTGAGCTAGATCAACAAATCTGTCTACACCATCTGTTGAAGGAAGATACATATGTGAAGATCAATTTTGACAAAGCTACTGACAAATTTGCAAAAGTTGACTCAAAACAGAAATTGTAATATTGTTCATTCCTGTGATAGATCAATATGAGATGTTTTCCTTTTTAAAAAACAAAAAGTGTGTTAATATAATTACAACTATTAACCCATTACTTGTTTCCTTTCTTGTACTGTAATATTACAGATATATATATATGGTATTATTATACATATGAGGTCAATATAAGAAAGTTTTTACTCTCTGCATGTCTTTTCTGCCCATTGTTATTATATTTCATGTCATGGTTAATACCGAAAACATTTTTTTCTTATAGAGAAGGCTTTAAAAATGATAAGCTCTAGTTGTCAAATATGTAAGGTATGCCACTGGTGTTAGATATTGTTATTGAGCGTTTGTCAGAAAAAAAATCAGTATGAACTGGGATGGCAATGAACGGAATGGGAAGGAAGTATATACATACTGCAGGAGTAAAACTGGCAGGTCTCTACCTATCAATTATGGGGCAAGAAGAGAAAGATGTCAAGGACGAAATATATTTTCAGCCTGATTAAAAAGTGGCAATTCTTGGGGGCTTGGCTTATATGTACCCAATGCCTAGAACTGCCTCTGAATATAGAGGTTTCTTTTTCTATTTTTTTGTTTTGTGGCTGGCCGGTATAGGGACCCAGACCCTTGACCTTGGTGTTATAACATCGTGCTCTACCCAACTGAGCTAACTGGCTCAGTTTCTTAAAACCCTAAAGATTTCTTAATACATATCTTTTGTTTGAATGAGTGATCTTGTGTAGGATACTTGCCTCACATACTCTCCATCCATCTTTTTATTCCAGCTATTGCTATGGCAACCATTTGCAGCTGTCCCTTGACAGTACCAGGTCCCAGCTACAGCCCCTGTCTTTTGACTTTTGCCCACGGGCTTCTTTGCTGCAGCCTTGTGGCACACTGGCTATGCTGATACTTGTGTAAACCTGGAAGAGTGAGCTAATTTACAAGGCAATTTTCGACACGGTGGATGGGAGCCAGAGGGTAAATACTCCCGTTTTGTCTCTTCAATCACATTTTGTATGGCTCCACAGAAGTGGGATGATGTTCCCATCGCTCAGAGTGGTGACTGGTTCAACATCACACCATTGGATGGCCTTTCCCTCTTTCCCAGTTTCATTCTTTCCAGTCTTCCACTTCTGGCTTTTGTGATTACTTTCCACTATAAACTACCTGCATCTTGTTCTTTTCTCAGGCTCTACTTTTTCAGGGAACCAAACCTAAAACAGATTCCTATGTAAAATGTGGTGTAGTAAATTAGCACCGGACAAGGACCCTGGTTTCCAGATCTAACTCTGTTACTAACCTGATTTGTGAAAAGTCATTTTACTTTATCAGCCGAAAAGGTGGGCGCTTTGATCACCATTTTCGGATGCACGTGTACTTACAGGAGATCTTCAAGCCATTTGTTAACTGAGAAAAATAAAAAACAAGTAAAATGCTTGTAGCTAGAATGCATATAGGTTGTGCATCAAAAGAGTATGTGTGTGTACATATATGTTAGTAATAAAATGGTGGGTTATCATGGTTTACTACATATTTTTGTATGGCTTAAATCGTTTACAAGAATGTGTCTTGTGTGAGTAAAAAAAAAAATCCACTTCAAAGGTTGTCGCATCATTCTTGTTAAAGTGCAGAGCAAGAGGCAAATCGGGCCACAAACCAAGGTAAGAAAGCTCAGGTGTGCGCTAGAGGGCAGCGGAGCTAAGACCAAGGCAAGGTGGCGCGAGAAACCACGAAACTAAGGAGGAAGGGCGGTGGGTCTTTGTGGTCGCCAGGGGGCAGGAGTGTAGGGCAACCTAAACCTGCAGCTTCCCGCTCTTCCCAAGCCTCCAATGCCAGGCAGGACATTTCAGAAGTCATATGTTCCATCCCTCTGCCGCAGCCCAGACCAATTGGAGGGTTTTCAGAATCGAGGGGATGCCCCCCCCCCGCAGAAGCTGAGCACTCTGAGCGGTCTCTGGGCTCTTTTGTACTATATTTGCGCTAAGCAGCTCTCTCCCTGCTCCCCCTACCCCCCCACTCCCCAACACCCGTAGAGGGGAAATTGAGTCACTGGGAAGAGAGGTCAGAGTCACCAGGGGAATGAGGGCGGACGCCAGCCCTCAGGGCCTTCCAGACGCTAGCAGGAGGGGGAGGGTTCTCCAGGAAAACAAAGGGGGGTGAGAGGCGGAGGCAGTTGGCTGGGCAGGAGTGGAACCAGACACATGGAGAAACGCTGCCCAGGATCAAAGGAAATATGACATTTGAAAAGAATGTGCGCGTCTGCTGGTGCTGCGCCCGGGGGTGGGGGCGGGGGCGGGGTCTCGGGGTCCCTACCCCTGCCCTTCTCGCCCCCGCCTCCCAGCTCCCCTGCCCCTCTCTTAGATGCAGGCTGGGTGATGGTCTCGAGGTGTGCCTTGCTCCCCTTTCCGGTGTCTCTCTCCTTCCTTTATTTCCGAGATGAAGCTGGAAGGGAAATGTAACCTGAGGAGACCAACCAAAGAAAAAAAAAGACAAGAAAAATCAAACCAGGCCGCCTCCCCACTCGGCCTCGGAACATTCTTCTCTCCCCGCCGGCCTGGCTTCTTCTCCCCGCCCCTCCTGCGTCGCGGCCTTGGGCTGGGAGCCGGGGCAGCTCCGCACGTCACTGGGGTCCCCGGGGGCTGGGGGGGTCCCCTGGGCGGGCCCGAGGGAGGACTGAGGGAGGGTGGGGAGCGGCCTCGGCCGCTGCGGAGCTCCGGCTGGCCGGGCCAGCCCTCCCCTGTTCCCCCGCCCCGCAGAGCCTGTTTCTCATTAGAGTAACGGGCGCGGTCCCGCCCGGCTCCCGAGTGTTTGTAAACGTCTGACCCGAGGGCCGTCCCTTAACCCTTCAGACGCTGGGCTGCGGAGTCCCTGAGGGCGGAGGGGTCTGGAGATGGAGGATCACGGAGGCCTCTTAGGTCTGAGGCATGCCGCATGCGTGGGGCGAAATGGGAGCCGCATCCGCGCCCCTCAGCACCTCCGGTCCGACTAGTGGATCTCCACCTAGCTCCTTCTCACTCGAGCCAGGCCCCTTCTGTGTCTGCCCTGCCTGGAAACTCCAGTCCGGGTCTTCCTTCCTCCCCCTGCCCAGGTGACAGGTGTCCAGCTCCGGGGGCCCACCAGGTCGCGAGACTCCGGGCCCCAACTAAACCTGGCCAGGATTTTTAGGAGAGCCGGAGCGGGCTGTCATAGGATCAGAGATTCATTCCAGACTACAGTTCTGGGGAGGAGGGGACCGACTTCCCGTGGAGGCAAATTAACGGCCCCTCTGGGTGGCTGGGACAAGGGCAGCGGCAAAGCCCGGCCTGGATCTACGCTCATCAGAGGCTGTGGGCCTTTGAATAGTTCCTCAATCCACGCTGGCTAGGACTGCTCGGAGAGGCATCCAGGCCGGATAAATGTTCTTGACCTTTGGGAGACTGGGAGGGATGCCGAGTGGAGACGCAGATTCAGCAAGGCAAAGGCTCCTCAAGTCCCAGGCAGAGCGGCCTCAGGCGAGGGACTTGGAAGGACTGGCCTTTTCCTCTTCAGAGAAGCCTGGAGCCACTGTGCACCCCAGAGCCCGTCTGGCTTCAAGCTTGGAGGGAAGGGGGAGGAGAGGTGGTCCTTCCTTGCTAGATACTGGCTACACAAGTCTTTAGAACTCAAGGAAGGGTCTCCCGTGGGCCCTCTACACTGGGGGCCCAGGATGTGGCCCTTTAAGGCGCTCGGACCCGGAGCCCCGAACTAAGTGAGGGTGGGGTGGGAGCTGGGCTCCCTGCGGGAAATGATTGTCACAACTGCGGGCCAATAGGCATCATAGGGTCGTATCACGCTTGAAGACCGTTTTCCAATTCAGTTTTTTTTTTTTTTTTGGTTTTTTTGGAGGGGGAGGGACTGGAGAGAGGACAGAGGGAGAGAGGGTGGGGGAGGACGAGGGGCGCGTGGTTTTCCCATCTCATCCCTGGAGGAGGGGCTGGAGCATCCCGGGCAGCCAATCAGGGACAGGCTGGGAGGGGGGGCCCCGCTTTGAAGAAGTTTGGGGGAAAAAAGTTTGGAAAAGTTTCTATAATAACGAGGGGGCGTCCGGAGGGAGGTGGCAGCGGCGGAGGAGGGGGCGTCTCAGAGAAAGGGAGGGAGGGAGCCACCCGGGTGAAGATACAGCAGCCTCCTGCGCTCCCCCCTCCCACCCAGGCCGGGACCCGGGGGCTCTGGCCGGATCCATGGGGGCAGCGAGCTGCGAGGATGAGGAGCTGGAATTTAAGCTGGTGTTCGGGGAGGAAAAGGAGGCCCCCCCGCTTGGCGCGGGGGGGTCGGGGGAAGGTCAGTGCGGGGCTGGGAGGGGGTCTTGGGCTCAGTGAGAGAAGGGCCCGGGATCCTGAGTCTGGGGAATTTAGGGCAGCGAGCCTGGGGTGGGGGATGAGGAGGTCAGAAGTTGAGGGGAGTTGGGGGGCTCGCTGGTCTGCAGAAGTGAGGCTGGGGGCCGGGTTACCACTTTCTCCTTTTTAGGTCGTGACTGGGGTGGGGGTGGGGGGTGCCGTTGGCTGCGCGCCGCCTCTCGGCTGGGCCGCCTGTCACTGACATGGGGGGGGTGGGAACGGCGGTCCCCAGAGCCCGGGGCGCCTCCAGGGGAAGGGGAGGTTCAGCCCTGGAGCTTGCCCCTTGTGGACCGAGCCGGGTCCAGCAGACGGGACGCCCGGGGCCGGGGGCGCTCTCAGACCGCGCCAGGGCGCCCCTCCCCCTCCCGCGTCTGGCCGCAATGAGAGGCAGATGGCGGGGACCGAGCCGGGGGCGGTGGCTGCCGCTCGCACGGAATCCGCGCTGCCCGCTGTCCCCCTCCCCCCGGCGGGGACCGCATCACCCCCTCGGCCGAACCCCCGCCCCCAGATTGGGGGGAGCAAGGGAGGAGCCGCCTCCCCTCGTTACCACCGCCCTGGCCCCCCCTCTCTTGGCCACGGTTGCGATGGCAACTGAGGCGCCTGCCAGCGCCGTTTGGGGGTTTGGGAACCGCTGCTAATTGGGTTCATGTGTGAGTCGCCCCCAGCCCAGCCCAGCGCCTGGCTAAACACGCCTCTAGGCCCGGCTCCAGCCCCTTGGACCCACCTCCCTCACCTTAAGACCCGCCCCGTCCGGTACCCCAGGTCCCATGGCCAGGAGCTCAGAGCGTGAGGTTCTCAGAGCGGGAAAAGGCCTGGCACGCTCCTCCATCTTCCGAGGTCCAACTTTGCTTTTGTCTTGTGGCTCTGAAGGGCTCCTCAGAGACCCCTCCTTGCCGAGGAGGGATGAGCGTAGCAGGACTTGGGGGCTGGCCACTCAAGGAACCTAGACTTTTCACCTGCTTCTCTCTTTCCCCATCTCCTTCTGCCCCCCTCCCATTTTGACAGAACTGGACTCAGAGGATGCCCCGCCATGCTGCCGTCTGGCCCTCGGGGAGCCCCCTCCCTATGGGGCTGCCCCTATTGGTATTCCCCGACCTCCACCCTCTCGGCCTGGCATGCACTCGCCACCACCGCGCCCAGCCCCCTCACCTGGCACCTGGGAGAGCCAGCCTGCCCGGTCAGTGAGGTTGGGGGGACCAGGAGGGAGTGCTGGGGGTGCTGGAGGTGGCCGTGTTCTTGAGTGTCCCAGCATTCGCATCACCTCCATCTCTCCCACGCCTGACCCCCCGGCCCCGCTGGAAGACAACCCTGATGCCTGGGGGGATGGCTCTCCCAGAGATTACCCCCCACCAGAAGGCTTTGGAGGCTACCGAGAGGCAGGGGGCCAGGGCGGGGGAGCCTTCTTCAGCCCGAGCCCTGGCAGCAGCAGCCTGTCCTCGTGGAGCTTCTTCTCTGATGCCTCGGATGAGGCAGCCCTATATGCAGCCTGCGATGAGGTGGAGTCTGAGCTAAATGAAGCAGCCTCCCGTTTTGGCCTGGGATCCCCGCTGCCCTCACCCCGGGCCTCCCCTAGGCCATGGACTCCTGAGGATCCCTGGAACCTGTACGGTCCAAGCCCCGGAGGCCGGGGGCCGGAGGATAGCTGGCTACTCCTCAGCGCTCCAGGGCCCACCCCAGCCTCCCCCAGGCCTGCCTCTCCATGTGGCAAGCGACGCTATTCGAGCTCGGGAACCCCATCTTCAGCCTCTCCAGCTCTGTCTCGCCGTGGCAGCCTAGGGGAAGAGGGGCCTGAGCCACCTCCACCACCCCCATTGCCTATAGCCCGGGACCCTGGCTCCCCTGGCCCCTTTGACTACGTGGGGGCCCCACCAGCTGAGAGCATCCCCCAGAAGACCCGGCGGACTTCCAGCGAGCAGGCAGTGGCCCTGCCTCGGTCCGAGGAGCCTGCCCCATGCAATGGGAAGCTGCCCTTGGGAGCAGAGGAAGCTATGGCTCCTCCCGGGGGTCCCCGGAAGGAGGTGGCTGGCATGGACTACCTGGCGGTGCCCTCCCCACTTGCTTGGTCCAAGGCCCGGATTGGGGGACACAGCCCCATCTTCAGGTGAGGGTTGCGCCTGGCACCACAGCTCTCTCCTGCCATCCTACTGGGGGAGCAGGAAGATCAAGGGATGGGTTTGAAGAAAGACCCTAGTTCTGTGTCCTCCGCATTTCAAAAGAGAAACTGCAGCCTGCAAGGCAGCTGCCACCTACCTGGTTTTAAGGAGAATTAGAAAAAACACCCTCCCTCTGGACTGATGATTTGCAAAAGGGCAATAGCTCCCTGGGGGCCAATTAGAAAAAGGGGCCCTGCAGTTTTAGAAGGACCAATTACGTAAAGGAGGAGTTCCTCTAGGCTGCCCCCCATCCCCAGTTCTTCATTGGCAGGTGGCTAGGTGTGGAACTTGTGCTGGGTTTCAGCCTTCCACTTGGGCTCTTTAGACAGGTGCCAACCCTACATTCTATTGCAGAAAGTCCCCTTTCTCTAACCTTTAATTTCTAAGGTCTGACCTAGTGGCTGAGTATAGTTTCTTTTTTCTTTTTTTCCTAAAGATGACTGGTAAGGGGATCTTAACCTGTGACTTGGTGTTGTCAGCACCACACTCTCCCAAGTGAGCCAACCAGCCATCCCTATATAGGGATCCGAACCTGTGGCCTTGGTGTTATCAGCACCACACTCTCCCAAGTGAGCCAACCAGCCATCCCTATATAGGGATCCGAACCTGTGGCCTTGGTGTTATCAGCACCACACTCTCCCAAGTGAGCCAACCAGCCATCCCTATATAGGGATCCGAACCTGTGGCCTTGGTGTTATCAGCACCACACTCTCCCAAGTGAGCCACGGGCCAGCCCTTGAGTATAGTTTCTAATTTGAATAAAATAACATATTTCCAAGTAAAAGAATTTATATTAAAACTTTCTATTTTTCTACCCCCTTCATTCTCAAAGAACCCTACCCATTTCAATAATCCTAAACCTTGAGATATCAGACAAATCTGGTTCCATCCAGAAAAGTTACTAGGGGAAAGAAACCCTAACACTAGTTCCCGGGGTTCCCATAGGGCAGGGTTTCTCAACCTCAGCACTATTGATATTTTGAGCAGGATATTTCTTTGTTGTGTGCGTCTGTGCTGGCCATTGCAGAACGGTTAGCAGCATCTCTGGCTTTTATCCATTAGATACTAGTAGCACCCTCTCCTCTAGTTATGACAGTCAAAATGTCTCCAGACATTGCCAAATATCACCTGGTGGGGTGGGGGGGGGGATTATCAGTTGAGATACACTGTTCTAGCATATCTGGGAGCACAATAAAGGAAAACTTGTCCCATCTGAAACCCCTTAGCTCTCTGGAACTCTACCAATCCAGTCCCAACTAGTGGAAAGGGAGCTGGCCTGGGAGCAGAATGTGCTCAGTCCTAGGTTCTGTCAGTAACTGCTGGCCTCAGTTTCTTTATTTGTAAAACAGAGGAGTTCATGTCTGAGGTTTATTCTGGTCTGAGGCAGCACTTCTTTACTTTACTCTTCCCATCCAGGTCTGGGGATTAGGAGGGGCTTGGGGTTCCTCTGTATCCAGGTGAAGCCTCTCTACCCCAAACCCTCTGCTTAGAGCCAGGAAGAAGGGATCTCAGGCATTTTGTCATCTTCCACACCTTCATTTCTAAGGGCTCTGTCCCTTATCTCCCCTTGCTTCTGGTTTTAATTTTTAATTTTTATTTTTTTGGTGGCTGGCCGGTATAGGGATCCAAACCCTTGCTGAACTCTTGACCTTCGTGTTATAACACTGGCCTCTAACCAACTGAGCCAAGCTGCCAGCCCCTTTTGGGCTTTTAGACATCTTTATTTCTGCTGTGATTTTCTTTCTGCCATACCCACAACCGCCCTTCCCTCACAGATCCAGCATGGTCTTGCCTCGTGTCTGAGGCTGCAGATGATCACTGCTCTTCTCTCCCAACCAGGACCTCTGCCCTACCCCCCCTGGACTGGCCTCTGCCCAACCAGTATGAGCAGCTGGAGCTGAGGATCGAGGTGCAGCCTAGAGCCCACCATCGGGCTCACTATGAGACAGAGGGCAGCCGTGGAGCTGTCAAAGCTGCCCCTGGTGGCCACCCTGTAGTCAAGGTAAGGCGCAGAGGGCAGGCCTGATATCCTTTCTCCCCTCCCATCCCAGATTCCTGCAGATCCCTCCAGCTGTGCGGACCCATGGCACTGCCCTTTCCCACACTCCCTCTCAGCTCTGGCCCTGAAGGCAGCCTCGGGGAGAGGCTGGAGTTGGGGGAGGAGGGATGCATTTCAAGGACCCGGATATACTTTTTATTCTGCTGTCCTTCCACTCCCACTCAACTCATCCCATGGGACATCAACCTCTTGTCTACTCTGGAAAATGGTGGCCTGCCAGATGTGGGGGAGGATTTAGGCTGGGGCCAAAGGCCATTGGGACTTAGGTTTTCTCTATATTGAGTTGGGCCGGTCTCTCTTGGAAGCTCTTCCCCCTTTGCCCAGCCCAGTTTGGGCTTTATTCCAAGAACAACACTCTGAACTCCAGGCCACAGTTTCTACACAACTGGTGCCCCGTTACCCCCAGGGAATCCCTTCCAGGACGTCCTTTATCTTTCTCTGTCTCCCACCCCATGGTGGACTGAAAATCCAGGGATGGATAAAGGATGAGACACTGGGGATTTCAATTAGATGGCCTCTGTCTCCCTCTGTAAGCTCCTAGGCTACAGTGAGAAGCCACTGACCCTACAGATGTTCATCGGCACTGCAGATGAAAGGAACCTGCGGCCTCATGCCTTCTATCAGGTGCACCGTATCACAGGCAAGATGGTGGCCACGGCCAGCTATGAAGCTGTAGTTAGTGGTACGAAGGTGTTGGAGATGACCCTGCTCCCTGAGAACAACATGGCAGCCAAGTAAGTCCCCACTCAACTTTCTCTCTGTCTGCAGGCTTTATGACCAGCCTTCTCCATTGGGCCCAAGCTAGGCCCACTTCTTCCTTTTCTCAGAGGAACTAGACATCATCCCTAGGAGTCTATTTCAGGCCTTCTCACCATCTAGAATAAAACATTTGTGGCTGAGAGCCCTCTGGAGAGGCCATCTCTGGGTTACAAATTGGCCCCCCCTAGGCACCCATAGGTCATTCAGGGTTTTGGATAGAGGGCAGGGCTTTTCCTCTTTTAGGGATGTATCACTCTCTGGCTTCAGCCAGGAGGGCTTGCCATCCATTCTTTGCCTTTAGCATTGACTGTGCTGGAATCCTGAAGCTTCGGAATTCAGACATTGAGCTTCGGAAGGGTGAGACGGACATCGGGCGCAAAAACACACGTGTGCGGCTGGTGTTCCGGGTACACGTGCCCCAGGGCGGTGGGAAGGTCGTCTCGGTGCAGGCAGCATCGGTGCCCATCGAATGCTGTGAGCAAAGAGGCCCTGGGCAACCTCTCTTTTCTGTGTGTCTATCTGTCTTCCCATCTCCTCTGCATAGTGTCCTGTGCCCTGTCTGTCCTGGGTAGCCCTATAGAGGACTCAGCCCTTATTTCTACCATGCATGGAAGAGCAGAGGGGGTAGTGTTCTAGTTTGCCCAGGCCACGGACTCTCTCTGGGCTGGCCCAGAGTGATCCTGTACTCTATCTGCCCCTGGGGTGTCCCTGTACATCTGTTTGGGTAACTCTCTGGCTTACCCTGTTTACTTTACTCTCTGCTCTAGGAACAGCCCCTTACATGGTCTGTGCAACCCCATCAATACTGTTGGTTTATGTGTGTGTCCTCTCCTGAGAAGGGCTCCTCCAGGGCCCTGAGACAATTTTTCCAAAGAGGGTCGGGGCAGAGGAAGCTGTCCCCTCCATACCCAGCCCAGCCAGGCCTCTTCCTTGCACTGCTCCACAGCCCAGCGTTCAGCCCAGGAGCTGCCCCAGGTGGAGGCCTACAGCCCCAGTGCCTGCTCCGTGAGAGGAGGCGAGGAACTAGTACTGACTGGCTCCAATTTCCTGCCAGACTCCAAGGTGGTGTTCATTGAGAGGGGTCCTGGTGAGTACCCATCAGGGAGGGGAGGAGAGGGCAGGCAGGAGGCACTTGGAACTGGCAGGTGAAAGATCTCTGGCACTGTCACTAAACTAGCCAGATGAGCCTCAGTTTCCTTCCTTCTCTGTAAAATGACAGACAGACTTCCTATTGTACTGCCTGCTTCCCATAGGGAGATGGGTGTGATAGCAATCTAAAATGTTGACAGTGCTGAACAAATATAAGGAATACCCATTCTGGTAGGGGAAAAAAAAAAAAAAGAAGTACACATTCTGCATATTAAAAAGGAGTCGGCTTTGAAATAATTTACCCCCATGTAGATAGGGCCTATGAAGAGAAGGGGAGAGGTGGCTTACACCTTTGCAGCTCCCGCCTGGGCCTCTCCTGAGTTATGGGCCTGGTGGCACAGCTATGATTACAAGAGCCTGCAAGGTACCCCAAGGAGGAGCTGCAGGGGTGGATAAAGGAAGACTGAGGGTTCCAGTTACAGCCGCTGACCTGAGGCCTTTGCCCTCCCCCATCCCTGCTCACAAAGAACCCCTGCTCCTATACCTGAATTTAGCACCTGGGGCCATGTCAGAGCATCTCTGCATCTTCAGAGGTCATGAGACTTGGAGGTCTCATTGCCTTCCTTCAAGTGAGGACCCTTTCTGACCAGAATTATCATGGAAGGGGATGTTTGGAGTTGGGTGGGAGGGGGTTCAGGAGTTGCTTCTGTCACTAACTCCCTCTGGTCCCTTGCTGGTCCATGGTCTCAGTTTGCTTCCCTGTACTTTGGGGACAGTTTAAAACCCTGTCTCTTCCATTCAATTGAGTAAACACGCAGTGGGCTCCTCTGAGTGCCAGACTTTCTAGGGGCCTTCTGAATTTGGTCTTGGCTCTAGCAGGAGGGGAAATGGCAGGGGACTGGGGCAGGAGGCAGGGGCCCTGGAGTTGGGCTGGAGCTGTCTGTTCCGCCTGCACAGATGGAAAGCTGCAATGGGAGGAGGAGGCCACGGTGAACCGACTGCAGAGCAATGAGGTACTGACATTACTAGGGTACACACCCTGGGGGTGGGAGGTGACAGAAATCATAAAATTCTCTATTGGCTCCCCTTGCCCAGTATAGTGGACCTATTCTTTTCTGGAGGAGGCAGTCTAGCCACTCTGGAAGGAGGTTGATCTCTAGGAAATGAACTTTGCTCCTTAGCAAATGGAAAAAGCTAGGGGGTAAAGTAGGTCCTTGGAAGGGCTGGGCTGAGCCTAGATCCCTGAGAGCTCCCTGCCTCATCTTCTGCTCTTTCCCAGGTGACGCTGACCCTGACCGTCCCTGAGTACAGCAATAAGCGTGTGTCCCGGCCAGTCCAGGTCTACTTCTATGTCTCCAATGGGCGGAGGAAGCGCAGTCCTACCCAGAGTTTCAAGTACCTGCCTGGTGCGCTCTAGGACAGCCCACGGTGTGGGTATAGGGAAGTGGGGAACTAAGGCAGGGACAGAGGGATGCGGTACCCTCACTGTGAGGGGTCAAGGGATGGGTGAAACCTGGGAAGGGAAGGTAGTTGGAAGGTTGCACTGGGAAGACTGCAGACCTCTCACTGGCATGTCCTCCTGCTTCTTCACCTTTGCAGTGATCTTCAAGGAGGAGCCCCTACCGGACTCATCTCTCCGAGGCTTCCCTTCAGCATCGGGTCCCCCCTTTGGCACTGACATGGACTTCTCACCACCCAGGCCCCCTTACCCCTCCTATCCCCATGAAGACCCTGCTTACGAGGCTCCTTACCTGTCAGAAGGCTTCCGCTATGGCACGCCCCCTCTGTACCCCCCAACGGGGCCCCCACCATCCTACAGACCTGGCCTGCGTATGTTCCCTGAGACTGGGGTTACTACAGGTTGTGCCCGTCCACCTCCAGTCTCTTTCCTTCCCCGCCCCTTCCCTAGTGACCCGTATGGAGGACGAGGCTCCTCTTTTCCTCTGGGGCTTCCGTTCCCTCCTCCAGCCCCCTTTCGGCCTTCACTACCTTCATCCCCACCTCTTGAAGGCCCCTTTTCTCCCCAGAGTGGTGTTCCTTCCCTATCTGCTGAGGGATACAATGAGGTAGGGCCAGGCTATGGCCCTGGGGAGGGGGCTCTGGAGCAGGAGAAATCCAGGGGTGGCTACAGCAGCGGATTCCAAGACAGTGTCCCTATCCAGGGTATCACGCTGGAGGAAGGTGGGTGTGGGACTGGGGGCTGTGAGTGTGAGCGTGTGTGAGAGATTGCTCTGCATGCTTGCTGAGGGCTGGAGCTTGGCTTCCCAGAGATTGGGTACACTTGGTCTCTCAGGGCCAGTTGGAAGGTCCCAGGAGGCAAGTTTTTGGTGCCTGTGGCCACCTGAATCCAGTTGATATAATTCTTAAGGGTGCATGGAGTATCTGCCCCAGCCTTTCTCTTGCCTCTCAGAGCTAGAATTACTTTCAAGATCATTCCATCTAGCTCCCTCAGTGTGCAGATACAGGCATCAGTTTCGGAGAGGCACAGTGATTTGCTGAGGGCTCAGTCAAGTGCATTTTCCCTTGCCTCAGCTTTCCCCTAAATATGGTGGCTGTGGTCAGGATTGGTGAGGAGCCTTCCTGTTTTGTCTCTTCCTTCCTCCCACTGGCTACACACACCTCCAGTCCTGCTGACACTGATTGACATGGCAGGCCAAGCCAGCTGGAAAGGGCTGGGATGGGGACCTGGGAGTCCACATGGATGTAGTTGGGCAAGATTTGACTAGGACCAGGTGTCAAGACACCTTGAGAAAACTGGAGCCCAGTGAAAGAGAAGCCAGTGGAGGAGGAGCCTAGAGGCATCCTAGACTGGATGGGAGTCCACATGGATGTAGTTGGGCAAGATTTGACTAGGACCAGGTGTCAAGACACCTTGGGAAAACTGGAGCCCAGTGAAAGAGAAGCCAGTGGAGGAGGAGCCTAGAGGCATCCTAGACTGGAGCCTGCCTGGAATGGACTGGGGATCTCTGGAAAAGGAGGGGACCTGCCCCTAGTCCAATCTCTCAACTGCCCCTCCTTTACAGTGAGTGAGATCATTGGCCGAGACCTGAGTGGCTTCCCTGCACCTCCTGGAGAAGATCCTCCTGCCTGAACCATCACCTGGCAACCCCAGCCCCGGCCTCGGCCCTGCCCATCTTCCCTCCTTCCTGGGGTGGTGGCTCCAGAAGCTTGGGGCCAACTCTGGCTCCTCTTTCTCCAGCTTCTACCTGTTTCCCTGTCTTCTCTCCCCTCCCCCAGCTGAAGTGTGGCCCCCCAGCCTGGTGCTGCCTTGAAGGGCTGGGGAAGGGAGAGTGTGGAGGACTGGGTTGGGAGTGGAGACTGAGGCCAGGTGCCAGAACTGACTGGAGTGAAGACGGTGTCTAGATTGTGTGCACGCCATGGTGCCAGGGAGGCTGGGACAGGATGATGGGTAATAAACTGCTCACTGACCAGTGCTTCAGGCTTTAGAGCTCTTTGGACAGGGATGGGGCAGCTGACATCAGCCCTGGCCCAAGGAGGCTGAGAGGTTGGAAAGAGATGGAGTGTGGCTGGGAACATTGCATCCGAAGGAGCTTCTCAGTGGAGTGGAGCTGGTGGGGTGGGCGAATGAAGGGCTCCAGAAGCTCCCTGGCTGGCACTGAGGTTGGGGGCCAGGACTTGAGTAGACCTCTCCACAGTTTCCTCCCTGGGGATCCAAATTCCTTTAGGAGCTTTGGGATGAGGCCCAGGGATCTGTGTTTTTTCAAGCTCCTTTTTCTTGCCAGCACCCAGATGATTCTGATTTGTAGCCAAGGTGAGGAAACACTGGTCTAATCACTCTCTCATTTACAGAGGAAGAATCTGAGTTTCAGAGAGGGAAAGGGGCATACCTAAGGTCACACAGCTAATCAACAGCAGGTTGAATGCTGCACTCCTGGGCTCCTGCCCCACTCAGATACCCTGACCCAGGAGGCCAAGCCCCTAAGGCTCATTTCCATGGAGTGAGGATGGGGTGAGGGAGAGCTGGCATGGGTCCATCCACACTGGATTCTCCCATCCTTGGAGACTGTGAAAACATTCTGGAAAGATCTGTGCTTCAGAGGTAGACTATGAAAAGCCAAGCAGCCTTTCCAGCAGCCCTGAATGCCACCTACCCTGGGGCTCATGGCACTGTATGAATTTCTGTCCTATCCTGCAAATACACCCATGCTTGCCTTCTCAGTAGTGGGTACATCCGTCACCACTGACAGGCCTGAGCTGGAAACCTGTTTCGTCCCCTGTCTTGATGGTCTATGAGGCCAAGTCCCCAGTGTGTTAGGGAAAGTTAGACCTTGTCTGCCTTGTTCACCTGGAACCTGGCACATAGTAGGCACTGAGTATAACTGGCTTGAGTTGGCCAGTCCCAGATGCAGGGGGCTGTACCCAAAAGACATTCAGGGAGTTAGTACTCGGGAAACTTGCCTCACCTCAAGGCTGGTGGGGCTCTCTATGCCCAGTCAGTCCAGACAGTCCTGGCAAGTACCCAGGAGTGCAGGGTGGGCATGACAGAAGCTGGCTCTGAATTGAAGGACAGGAGAACCAGGGTGACCCCTGGCTTGTTGCAGTTTTGTAATTAATTTCCTATATCTTCCTGAACACAAACTGCTGCTAACCAAACTGACATCAAGTGATTAGTGCAGTGAGTCTTGTCTGCTTTTCAAAGATTCCCTCTAGCCTCCTACCAGAGTCATTAACCCGCAATCTCCATGTCAGAAGGGACCCTGGGGCACATGTGTCATATCCAGCATTCTTCAGCTGCACCCCCAAGATCTCTGACAGAGGGTGGTTCAGCCTCAGTGTGGATGAGATGCTGTTGTGATGGGGACTCACTACGTCTCAGGGTGGACCGTTTCATTTTCTGCCAGGCACTGCCATTCATTCATTGTCAGACATTATTGAGCAGCTACTAAGTGAGAGCCAGTGGGTCCTGGAGGACTTCCTAGCCTCATGGGGCAACAACACGTAGACAGCTCAACAAGTAAACAATTCAACAGTTCAACCAGTAAGTATTTCTTGCACAGAGAGTATGTCAGACCTTGGGGGATGTCAGTGAACAATTTTAATATGGGGTGCAGAGGAAACAGAGCAGAGGCACTCCATCCATCTGTGGAGGTTACAGGGAGCTTCAGGGAGTGACTTCTAATCTGAGTCCTGGAGAATGACTAGGAATTGGCCAGGCTGAGTACGGGGAGGGCAGGCCAGGCAGAGTGAGCACAATAGGCACAGTCTTGGAGGAAGGAGGCCAAGGAGGAAGGCTAGCAGATGGCAAGGGCGTGGCATGCTTGGAGAACTAGGAGAGGCCCAGCTTGGTGGGGCAGGTTAAGTTCTGGAAGAGGGGGGCTGTAAGGAGGGACTAGAGAGAGAAGTAGGGGCTGGATTCTGAAGGGCCTCATAGCCTGCCAGGGAATTTAGAGTCACCCAAGGACTGTGGGAGCTCTCCCACCAGACAGTAGGCCTTAAGCTGGAGTGATGCAATACATTTGCCACTGGATTCTGAAGGGCCTCATAGCCTGCCAGGGAATTTAGAGTCACCCAAGGACTGTGGGAGTTCTCCCACCAGACAGTAGGCCTTAAGCTGGAGTGATGCAATACATTTGCCGTCCTTTTTCCTCACATTGGGCTCACATCTGCTTCCTTGTGAGCACTCTGCCAGGGGCTTGTTCTGCCCTCCAGGCCCACGCTGTACAGGCCTAATTCCCCTCCTCATGAGAATCCTGATGGGGGTTGGCCTCCTGGTGCCTTTGCAAGTTGTCATTCCGGGACTCCAGGGTCATTGTCTCTTCCCAGGATCCCTAAATATCTAGCTCCCTGAGGCTATAGTTGGGAGAGAGAAGAAAGAGCCTGGGTCTTTAGCTGATGCCAGAAAAGACCTTCTTGGCCAGGGTTTCTCAAAGTGTGGTCTGAAGATTACTTGTATTTGAATCACTAAGGAGTCTTTTTGTTTTTGTTTTTAATGCAGATTCCTAGCCAACCTCTGATCTACTCAGTTCTATTCTTGGGGCGCAGGGCCCAGGCATCCACATTTTGAAGGGTATTCTAGGTGATTTTTCAGCATAGTAAAGTTTAAGAACTAGAGTCATCTGCCAATTAAGTGTCATTCCTCCCCACTCCAGACTCGAAAATAGCTCCCTGCCCCTTTCTCCAAGTCTTGTCTGGGCTGCCCTGGATGGAGGGTTGCCTGGAAAAGTGCACCCAGGGAAAAGGAAGGGCACACACATTCCTCATATAACAACTCATCCCTCCCCTCCCTGGCTCTATCTTGCTATTTAGATAATCTGAGGATGTCTCAGGCACAGCCTGGAGCCCTGGTGCAGGAGCATCTGACCTCAAAACTATTGAATCTCCTTCTCTGGCTGGAACTCTGGGCCTCCCAGATGCTTGGGGAGCGGCACATTATTTAGCCTTCCAGTTGGGTTTTGGGCTTTGCTTGGAATGGGTTCTGTGATGCCTTGGAGCCCACTGCTCTACCTTCTAAGTTGTCATGGAGAAGAAGGCTACAGAGAAGCAGCATCTCATGTCTTCCTGGAAATTCCAGATGAGAGAGTGTACAGGGGTTTGGCTGCTTTGGAGGAGCCTGTTTTAGTGGCTTCAGTGTCTGATTGTTCACTTAGCTAACTCCTCACAGAGTCCTGAATGGCCTCTGCTCTGTGCCAAGCCCTGTACTAGACACTAAGGACGCAAGCATCACACTGGAGCCTTGACCTTTGGGGGTGGACAATCCTGTCACTATTGGGAGAGGCCCTTCTGCCTGGAGATGAGGTTGAAGTGGTTTGATCAGAGCTGTCCGAGTGACAGAAACAATGTTGCTATGGAAATACTGGGAACCGAGCCCAAGGAAGGGGGTCAAAGAACATTTTACAGAGGTGGGAGATTTTGAGTAGGGTCCTAAAGGAGGAGTGGACATTTTCTGGGTAAACAAGGTAGAGATGAGAGAAGCAGTTGTGCCTGGGGGTTAAAGTATATAAAGGAAGCAACCAGACTTGAAATGCTTTAACAGGTTGTGCTAAGAAATGTGGCACGTGTTCTGTGGGTAATAGGGAGTCATTCACTCATTTGGTCAGGGGATCTACGTGTGTGTGTGTGTGTGTGTGTGTGTGTGTGTCTGTGTGTGATTTAAGATTTAGAAGCTGTATGAAGAGATAGTCGTAGGGAAACCAAAAAGAAGGGTTTTTCAGTAGTTCAGGCAAGAGAAGAGAGAAGTCTGGACTCTACCCACTACTTAGCTCAGCTAAACAGGATGAGCTAAAGTGGAAGTCAAAGAACGGGAAAGGTCCTGGGCTGCTGTCCTAGCTCAGCCGACAACTATCTGTGTGACCTCTAGCATGTCACCAGACCTAACCAGGCCCTATGTGCCTCATCTGTAAATGTTATTGAGACCCTACCATGCACCAGCCCCTGTGATAGGCCCTGGGGATAGAGCAGTGGATGAGACATCCTCATGGGACTTAAAGTTTGACAGGCACTTACAGAACAATGTGTAATGGTGGGGAAGTACTGGGGGCTTTGGGACCTCAGAGAAAGGGCACTTACCTATTCTGTCATTGCTTGTGTGTCTCTTGTAGTGATGGTAGATGACTGTGTTTTGAGATAATGCATTGGGTTCAGCCCTTATAGGGGGGAACAACACATTCTCTGAAAGAAACAGATATTCGCAATGCCAGTTCTACTGGAATAAAGAGCATCTGGAGGCAGGAAATGTGGATTTGTTACTCAGGCCTTCTTAGGGTTAGAAGAAGCATCTCTCTATGCTCCTCTCTCTTGGTCCTGAACCCTGAGGTATCTCATTTTGGACTGTGTGTGTCCAAGTAGCCTCCACACAGTGAGGCAGGACCCTGGCAGGGCAGAAAGCCAGGGGCCAAGGTTGGGCATGGTGGCGGCTCCATGGTTGGGTGGCACTTCACTTTTATGTCTCTCTGAGTAATTCCTTTTAGTCCTTCCTGGATGTCTTAGTTTCCTAGGGCTGCAGTAAAAAAGCATTACAAACTGGGTGGCTTAAAGCAGCAGAAATTTATTGTGTCACAGTTCAGGAGGCCAGAAGTCTGAATTCAAATTGCTGGCAGTGTTGGTTCCTTCTGGGGGCTCTGATGGAGAATCCGTTCTACACCTCTCTCCTAGCTTCTGGTGGTTGCTGGCAATCTTTGGTATTTCTTGTCTTCTAGAAGTATCACTCCAATCTCTGCCTTCGTTGTCATATGGCATTCTTCCCTGTGTCTCCACTGTGTCTCTGTGTCCAAATCTAGCTCTCCTTTCTCTTGTAAAGCTATGAGTCATTGGATGTAGGGCCCACCCTAATCCAGTATGACCTCATTTTAACTTGAAGACATCTGCAAAGACCCTGTTTCCAAAAAAAGCTCACATGTACAGGTACTGGAGGTTAGGACTTGAACATACCTCTCTTGGGGACCCAATTCAATACACTACACTGAGTTTCTTTCAC